TTCAAAGTTTCAAAAGAATTTAATTAAATTTACAAGAAATTTGACAGGTTACTTCAGCATGAAAAAGCTATTGTTTCAATTTCAACATAAATTTTCTGAACTTTCAATGTAATTGCATATGTGTATTTTTATGATACTGGAGAGATTTCACCATGGATATTTCAGATCCAAGTATAAAAATAAAAGAGTATATTCTATGGTGATAGTTTTGTCCATGTCTTAATGCAGATATGTAGTGGAGATAACTTAAATAACGTTGTGTTTCAAAACCCTGGGTTTAAATTTTTATGTAAGGTGAAACCCATTTTTTGCCCTTTTTAGGACGTACACCAAAACGTGACATGAAAAAACCTAGTTCCTGGTAATGAGTATTCTCTAAATTTGTATGACTATCTGATGTTCAATTATTGTCTGGTAGTAATTGTGCTGAATCTATTTATGCTCATGTCGTTAATAACCTTAGGTTGCGTGGCAAAGTTTTTTCATAATCACCATATTTCACATCTTGTAACAGTTGTTATGCATGGTGTCCACCATGCAACACGCGTTCCATTTGGTGCTTCTGCATGATGAATGCACATTATATGAACAACTTTGACAATTCCCAGTTTATTTCTTGGAAGAACTCCATGGATCAAATCAATTAAAAAAAGATGAAGCTTAAAATGTTATAGTTTAAAAAACAGCACATGTTTGAAATTCTAAAAATTCTTTGGTGTCCACCCATAACATGCGTTACCGTATATGAAAAATACAAAATACAATTTTGTTAAGAAAACTTCATTTATAATCGTTCTAATCTTTCACAAGAAAGGCTTTCTACATTGTGTATATAAAATTCATTGAATTGTTCAATTTTGAATCAAATAGATATTTAAAAAAAAATTATGAAACTTTGGTGTCCACCCTAGAGGGCTGGGTTTACCAGTTTAACCCTGAGTTCGCCACGAGCTCCCGAGTTTACCCCCGAGTTCGCCACGAGCTCCCCAGTTTAACCCGAGCTCGCCACGAACTCCCCCTTTTACCCACGAGCTCGCCACGAGCTCCCCCTTTTACCCACGAGCTCGCCACGAGCTCCCCCTTTTACCCACGAGCTCGCCACGAGCTCCCCAGTTTATGCCCGAGCTCGCCACGAGCTCCCCATTTTACCAACGAGCTCGTCACGAACTCCCCCTTTTACCCACGAGCTCGCCACGAGCTCCCCCTTTTACCCACGAACTCGCCACGAGCTCCCCCTTTTACCAACGAGCTCGTCACGAGCTCGCCACGAGCTCCCCCTTTTACCCACGAGCTCGCCATGAGCTGCCCAGTTTACCCGCGAGTTTGCCACGAGCTCGTGACGAACTCGTTCACGAGCTCGTGAAGATTTTGTAAGATCGTTACTAGCGTCCTGGAAGCGTGTTACGAGCTTAAAGCCTAAAAAACGATCTTATTAAGCTTACCACGAGCATAATACGAGTTCGCGACGAACTTAAATTTGTATAGGGGTGGTTTAGCTTTTCTATTATAAGGGCCTCATATCAAGGAACCTCAAGCGGTTATTGAACATGACATACTGTAGACAAAAAGCGCTTTGTTTGGAAATATGCTTGTTATGAGAGTAAAAACAAAACTTTTACAATGTGACTTGCATGCTGGAATGGAAGTCTTACACCCAGGTTTTAATTGTGAATGTGTATGACTATTATCTGAAGTGTCACACTTTCTCTATTATGTGTTTTAAAAAAGTCATAACAATTGTTTGTTTTAATTGGAAATGGAGTCATGATATTCTTTTGAAATGGAATCATGATGAACTTTTAAAAGGAAATAAAATCATTTTTGAAGATGCAGGGTTCTGACAATTATTGTAATTTGGACAGATTGCCAATATTCTGTAAAAAACATTCAAATAAATGTGATTTAGTTGAAATATTAATGGAAACACTGTCTTTGCTTCTATCTATTTGGCCAAGATAGGTAACGTAGGCACACATGTAGATTCTGATAAGTCTTTACAAAATAAACCCCACACTTTTTAATTTTTTGCTTTGCTATTGATCTACAGACTTAATATAGTTACAAGATATAATAGTAAAATCCATGGTTACAAGTAGCATGTATACCTAACAGCGTGTAATACATGCAAGACTCTTTGTAAACACTGCATTATGTATGCATGAGAGACCACCCTCTATGTGTACCCAGAGTCAGAAATCCCCTCTTTTTCATGGTTGATGCACCCCATTGAGGTCAAGGGTGGCATCGAGATATTCGGGTCAACGGACCTTTGTGTGCCGCTCTCTCCCGTTAGCGTCTTTTGAATGAATGAATGAAAACAGTCGACAGCTGGACCAACTAACCCAGCCATGTGCGGAGAGAGAGAGCACTGTACAGGATAAAGGGAAGGCTTGAGAGAGAGAGAGAAGAGGGAAATAAAGATGGCCGCCTCTTTCATGTAGCGGTGAATTTGAAATTAGACGTTGTGAAGTGTTTTGGCAAATATTTGGGATTGGATTACTGTTCGAGGTCCTTTTCTTGAGTTGTCAAATGGCAGTGGATGGGTGAGTGCATTATTTTGAGTTGAAAAAACAGGAGCTAGGTACAGTAAGATGAAGTAATAATGCTTTGTAAGTGAGCTCCATTCACAACAGTGTACTAACAATACATGTAGTCCCACTAGTGCAGTATTTGTGCTGGTTAGTATAACACTATAGTAGGACCTGTTGTTTATTATTTAAACAGTGTATCTCCACATAGATACAACTTTATCAATTTAAGGTGTGTCTAATTATAAATGTGATATCTTTGGAGTGATACATTTGAATAAAAAATCTAGCTTTTTTATAATTCCTAATTAAAATGCATGAAAGATAGACAAAATGCGTCCTAAAATTAGGTTTTGGGTTCCCGATCCGCACGCTGGCAATGCAAAAAAACCGAATTCTGCGTGATAAAATACCCCCAGTTCACGGTCTACATTTATGGGATGTTCCTCTCCCAAGGATTTATCGCTGATAACTTGAAAGTCTCTGTACAAAGTCAATGTGAAATGCATCAAGAATTAAATCATTGCAGAATCCGTTTTTCGCATTGCCAACGCGCGGACTGGAAATCAGAATCGTCAAAGAAAATGTGAACGATCCTTATTTTTGAAGACACGTCAGTCAGCGTTAACGAAGATGATCCTCGTGATCATACTTATGTATTATTATTATTATTGTATGATGGAAGGATTCTCTAAGTACTATTCAAGATCTGTTTATGCAAGGTGCAGTACAGTATTTGATTGGTATTAACAAATTGTCTTTCTTATTTCAAAAGTGGTAAATTTTGCAGATTAAATTATTTGCTTAAGTCACAAATCTTATATTTTTTTCTTATCAGTCATGTAAATACTAGAGGCCTGATGTGATTTAAAAAAAAAAAAACATTTTGAGGGTTTGTTTATAATTACGAGGGAACTGTCTCCTAAGGAAGCTAAACTTTATAGAGGATTGTTTAATTAGGGACTTTAAAAAAAAATTATATGAAATTAAATTCTCATGTGATGGCAGAAAGGTATATATGAAAACAATTTTTTTCTCCAAGTATATAAATATTTCAGTTTTCACAGCTAAAGTAATAATATATATTCCTTTGGGGCTTTGGGCAGTTTTTAACTGAAATGTGTTGTGTTCATATATGTTCACTGTAGATATCAAAGTAAAATTTTAAAAATATTGAATTTGTCTTTCTCAAAATGAACATATATGTTCTCCACTCATTCAGTTACATCTTTTTGCCTGGCATACTACACTAAGTATATTCAAATTTTGTTCAGAGGATGCACATTTCCCTAACACAATAATTTCCTGCTTGATTGTGTAAAAACAGGAAGTAGTCCAAAGAAAAAAAATACTTATGTCTGGGGCAATAATAATTTGTGCCTGGAGGCAGAGATTTTAATCTTTTCCATCAGTATTAAAGCTTGTTTATTTATCAGGACTGTATTTTTAGCTAGTTTTTCATCCGTAATGACGTTTGTAAAGTCTTTAAGTAGTCTTATCTGTGCCTTGAGCAAGTTTTTCATCTTATGAAGCTGACAAGTTATGAGATTTAGTTTCAATATTTAATGAAGTATCATGCATGCCCGTAATATAAATTTTTGAAACCACTTATCCTTTAGTCAGACCTGAAAAATAGAGGTTTTAACTTGAGACGTTAATGGACTGACATCCATCAACCCTACCTGTATCGTACACAATAACAACTCAAGAGATGGGAAAGTAAAGCCTCAGAGACCACCTTAATTTTATGAAAGCATGGACGTAAAGCTGACTTGGCTTTAAAAATATTGAAATAGTTGACAGTATTTTGAGGGTTGAGGGATTATTGTGTAGTATCCTGTAGAAACTGAATGTAAATGCTACAACATTCATTTGATTATCTTAACAATCTATTAAAAGCCATATATTGGTAAGACACATATGGAGTAATAAATCTCAATGTAATAAAGGACATGCTTTCTCATTTCATCACAAAACACATTGTTGCCTACATGTAGCCTTGATGTTAATGACATGAAATGAGATTGGTGAATACAAAGGAGGATTGCAGTAAGAAAATCACTATTAATTAATTAATTATTATTAATTATGCAGCAGTCCAAGTATCCCATCTCAAATCCTGAATCCTGTTTTCAAGCCTTTACAAAGGAAATGTATTGCCACTGTTTTTTTTATCCTTGCAATCTTGATTACTTTCTAAGAATATGGATGATTGATCTTTGCACATTTGCGTAAAAGGGGCTTTCCCATCACGCAAATGCAAATGTGAATAATCATGAAGTACTGTTATCTGAGTAGCACACTTCATTTGTGTGTTTTACTTCTCATGAATACTATTCCTGAAAAATTGTCGGCCAACTGCATAAATTCATCATTGTAAATTGAGTAGATACCTTTCTTGCTCTATTTCCATGCCTTCTTGTTCTTAAAATGTCATAAAGTAATTTTTAATGATTGTTTTCTCTTTTGTAGTGTTCCTAAGGTTCAGACTGAGATCCTTCCAGTTGACGAGCCTCCGGTCCCGTCATCCTCCACCCCTAACCAAGAAACCACTGCACCCAAGAGGAAAACAACCAAGCAACAGGCCAGCAAAACTTCCAAGTCAGACGCCAAGAAGAAAAAGAAGAAGAAAAAGAAAAAGAAGAAGAAGAATGCATCATCATCATCATCATCGCCACCAGCACCACCACCATCGGGAGCACCAGGGAAGCAGCTCAAGACCAGACGGAAGATCCCAGGACCAGTCACCAATGAGGATAAGACGACCACTGCCTTGAAGAAAACCAAGAAGAAACCTGGTAGGAAACCTAAGGAAGAACAGATGGTCAAGAAGAAGTACTGGAGGGCAGGCATCTACTCACATACATTCAAGGAAGAATTGTAAGTTTGTGGGGTATTCTAAATATATTTGGAAGAAAACTAAAATCAAACAGAACTTTTTATTATGTAGAGCTCAAGTTTTTAAAACCTCAAGTGTATTTACTTTGTTCAGTTACTGTAAAACTAGAATTCTTGCAGTGAAAGTAAGAATTGGTTGTCAGTTTGAGTTTTACGCCTATAAAGTTCCTTGTTTTTTAGAAGTTATTTATGGCAAGGTACCTGCAAATACCTTTCTGTCCACAGGACTATTTACTTTAAAAATAAAAAAATTGTCTTGTATTTTGTTGTTGCTGATGTAGTTTAATTGTGATTTAAACCACTCAGGACCAAGAAAAAGACAGAGGAAGAGGAAGAGGCCAAGAATGTTGACAAGAAATCTAAACAAGAGACTACTGCAGCTCCTGAAGAGACCAAAATGGATACCACCCCTCCCACAACATCAACAGCAACTGTTGCAGCATCATCTGAAGTGGTACAAAGTGAGGATGGGAATCAATCTGTGGCAGAAAAACCTTCTGCAGATGCGGGAGTAGAGGAAGGGTCCGAGTCCACCACAACCAGTGAAACAACTCAATCAGACACACCAGCAACATCAGCAACTCCTACTGAAACACTTCCTTCTGAGGCAACTCCATCAGACACGCCAGCTACATCAGCAACTCCTTCTGAGACACCTCCTTCAGACACGCCAGCAACATCAGCAACTCCTTCTGAAGCACCTCCTGCATTATCCACAACAGCGGTATCATCAGAAACGGCCGAACCACCAGAAACAGCCGAACCATCAGAAACAGCCGAAAAGTCTCCGGAAAAAACAGAAGGTGGAGAGTTTCCGGACAAAGCAGTTGCAGCAGCTGAACCTGAGAAGATGGATGTAGATGCACCACAAGGTGTCACTGAAGCAGGAGATAAGGAGGATGTTGCAGAAGTTGCAGGACCTTCAGAGGAGAAAGATGCAAAAGATGCTGATGAGAGCAGTCTAAAGTTGCTGCCATTTCCTTTCCATGCAGGTGAGTGACCCTTTAAGCACTTCCTGGTGTCCCGTTTTAAAAGACATGTCGCAGTGAAATTCTGATGACAGTCGATGTTACATACAGTAAAACCTGTCTAGTAAGGCAACCCAAGGGAAACACAAAAAGTGTCCACTAAATAAACATCTTGTTCGACAGATTAGATACGTTCTTCAACACATTTTTCCTACCAGAGTGAAGCAATATGGGTCACAACTATAGACAGGTGGCCACAAAGGGAGGTTTGACTAGTGAAGTGTATGTTACGACATGTATAAAATTCATCCTTTTGATTTAGGGTATGGATCTACACAAAATGGCTTTGTCAAATATGCTATGTAACATGAAACATTAACAATGGCAAGCCTAGTAATTGAGCATTCTGGAATGAATATGTGGGTGCAGTGAAAGCCAACTTGCTAGATTTCCGAAAAGAGGAGAGAGGAGGAAAGGTAAATTTATTTTCTGACTGGGTTCACCTACCAGGACTGCTGTTCAAAGGGTAGGAGAAGACGGTACTTACAGAGATGGTGAAAAATTGTGTTGAGTGGAAAATATCAGATGAGAAATCACATTACAAGACTTCTCCAGGAAGTAGCATAGCAAGAACAGAAAAAAATGTGTGAATATATTCTGAAGTAATTGCATAGGCATCCTGTGTAATATGAAATTATGAACAATGCTTGAATTTACAGTAGGCTTGCGGATGCACTGTGTGAGAGAGAGGGAGGATTGAGGAGTCCTGAAAAGGACTCTCGGTAATCTTTCTTGAGGATGTGTAGTCCTGAAAAGGACTGTTGGTGTAGTCTTGAAAATGCTTGAATTGATGGATATTATTATTTATGTACGGTACATTAGCAGCTGTAAGAACAAAGTACTGTTTTATTCAGAGAATAATGTAAATTATGAAACATGAAGGGTAGTTTTGATCAAATAGCACTATGCATCATCACAGTTAGTTGAGATGGATTGTAAATGAGTTTGGCTAAAGAATCACTTGTCACGTTCAATAAACAAGACATTTTGTAAACACTGCCAAGAGACAGCGGCAGACCTGCCAAGAAATTTCTGACATTACATTTTGGCAGCGGGGTCAGTATAAATTGGAAGCAAATGCTGCGGACGGACTGACGGTGTAAACGATCCCCTCATACGCCCTCGTCTGTTCATTATGCAACAATGCAGATAGGAGGACCCTTTCTGTCCAATCTTCACGTCTGACCTCGCGTGGGGGGAAGTAAACAAGTGGCATGAATGCCAAGTTTAGAGGACAGGTGCGCCATTTCGCGGAAGGTGTCAAAACGATATTGGCATGCCCTACTTTAATAGAAGTGTGGAGTCTGTATGTTGTGGAGGGAGGGGGGGGGGGGAAGAGTCTAGTTGAACGTGTCGGGGATTGAGTGGGATAGGCTTTTCAATTTGTGTGGGCTGCTAGCTGCTTTAATTACTTGCTTGGCTAGGGGTCATAAGATCCTGATTCAATATTTGATGCAGGATGTGTGAGGCAATAGGAAACGAGAGGCAGAGGTGGGGATAAGGTGGGAATAAATATATTGTACATGTATCTGCAGGTTTTGAATGCCACTCTGCAGAGTAACACTTCTTAAGCATTGAAAAAATGATGAAGTTTAAGATCAAGGGTCATCTATGGATTTAAGATATGGAATGTTGTGTTTACGATGTGGTAGGTAAGCTACATGCACAACAAAATATCTCATGATCTTAACAAATGTAAACATGCTTGTGAAAAAATAATGATATACATTTTAGAATGTATAGGAGGTAAATGCACCTGCTTTTGATTTCATGTACAAATTCATATTAAAATTTGAATAACTAATTGTAATTATTTTTTCTTATTATTTATCAAATGTGTCATGTGTTTATACCTTTGTAGGCCATTATGTGTATTATCATTTCTTTCTTCTCCTCCTGCTTGTAGGTATCAACTTGTGTGAGGAATGGTTTGACTTTGAGCTTCCGTATGATATCTGGTGGCAATGGGTACACAACAAGCTTCCTTCAAGGACACAAGCACCAAAATTCAAGAAGATCAGAAACAGTGAGTACCCATTTATTCATAATGTATAGCAGTTCTGCTTCCTTTTGTGTTTGTGTTTGAACTGCAGGTCCAGTCTCGAATGTTCCTTTTACTTTCAGAAGAAAGAAGCCATTTTGTGTCCTGTAATTGCAGATTTTTTTCTTTTTAATGTTTAAGGGTAATGTATTGTGGCAAAGATCAGGGACACATTTTATCGAGAGTATTCAAGAGTTGCGATTGACTCCAGTTGATAGCAACTTGACTTGACATTGATTTCAGTGTTCATTCTGTACAAAAGATTTTTATAGGAGTTCTTTATTAGTTTGCAATTGATCGACAGACCTATTATCGATGCAAATCAGTCACACCACATCATGAGCAGTGCTCTACAGTCTGTATTCCTTTCCCTATTTTGTGATCGGTCCACTTTTTTCCTTGCTGGTATGTCTCTCACGCTTTCTCCTTCTATTCATACACCATATCCTACCATGTCCCGGATCTGTCTTCTGCTCTCACTCCTCTTCTCTCTGTCTCTTTTCATCCTGGTATTGTGTTCCTGTTACATATTTTTGCTTTTATCCTTGAGAAAATTTCCCAGGGATGCCAAGCATTTCATAATGGCAACCTGCCAAGACCACAGACACAAACAAAAAATCAGCCATCGGTATTAAAGATAGGTAGAGATCTGGCGAAGGTGAATACTAACTAGCTTTCTCATTCTTTAGATGTCAGTTTGGAAGAAAGTCATGTCTCATGAAAAAGATTGCTCTTCAGATACCCTCATATTAAAAATATCACGATGAGATAGTTTAAAGGTTGGACCAGACTATCAGGCAACATTAACGTATTGTCCCATATACCCATTTCTGTGTGTAGTACATGCAATTTTCTGCAAGATAGAGCCAACCTCTTATGATTTTGATGATTCCAAAACCGAACAGTATACACCAATTATTATGTATTGCATGATCATACTTTCCCAAAGTCTTCTAATCAGAGTATTTTACAGTGTAATTTCATGACCAGAATTACACTTTACCTTTAAGCCCACGTCACTGCGTTATACAATGCTATGCTTGCTTTTTAAATCCTGCAGTCAAGTTTGAGTGTTTTATGTAATTTATGGAGCTTGTGCTACTTCCTTGAGATTTGCTTACAGCACGCGAAGAGGACATTCTTTAGTTAGACTTTATGATGTAGTGTAATGTATACCAAACTCCCATGTTTACGTTGTATTGAAATACATAAAAGGCAAAATAAAGAAAAAGACCCAATTATCAAAGCTCTTAGGCATCACAAGGTTGCGCTTCTGAAGTTACATGTATTTTTTTTGTCCTTTCTAGTATAGTTTTGTTTCATTTTTCATACATACGCCATATCACCAATTCATGTACAAGTGTCACTTTCTCTTTATGCCTAACAAATATTCCTTCAAATACTTTTTCGTAAACCACGATACACATTTCAGTAATATTTCAATCAATGCAAACGGTATTGTCCTGGTGCCGTGCATAGTTATTGCACTCAATAAACAGCACATAAATCCAATGCGGTTTGTGCAAAATTATTGAGAGAGTGGGGGGGGGGGGGG